TCTGGTGGGGATTCTCCCAGGGAACGGAGGCTACAGGCTTACTCCTCTCCCTGTCTCCATGAAACCGTCCCGGCTCCAGAGACTGACTGAGGTTTCTCTCTACTGCAGAGTCCACAAAGACTCAGTGTGTTCAGGATGAAAGCTTCAGGCTGTCTGGGCCGATGTGTTCTCTGCTCTGGAAAATGACCCCTGTGCTGCTTCCTGGGAGTGTTTACTATCCTTACATGAGGGTGGAAGCTGTAGTGTGACCGTCTGTCTGTGCATCCCATCTTCACAACGAGACTGAACAGCTAAAGCAGTGTTAGCACCTCCTACAGGCTGCACTGTTCATTACATGCCACAACTAGAAAGTACTGAACAAATATAATTTTTGTTATCATTGTGTTGTTATACTAGGAATGAGGCTTGACAAAGTCGGTCCAGAGGGTGGCAGGTAAATTGGGGATTTTATTATTTAAGAAAAATCTTCTTTTGAGAAGCCAGAATCTGCAAATGGACTGATTAAGGTTACATATATAATGATCTGCAGGACACTATTCCCCATTTAATGAGCAAACGTGTCTTACAAAATCAGCCTACTATCACCTGAGAATATATCAACGATTAGAGGACTTATGTCTCAACATGATTTGGAAAAACTTGTCCATGCATTGATCTTCAGTAGACTGGACTACTGTAGCGGTGTGTTTACAGGTCTCTGTAAAAAGTCTGTCAGAACGCTGCAGCTGATTCAGAACGCTGCAGCTCGAGTCCTCAAGACCAAGAAAGTGGATCACATCACTCCAGTTCTGAGGTCTTTGCACTGGCTTCCTGTCCAACAAAGAATTGACTTTAAAATCCTGCTGTTGGTTTATAAAGCACTGAATGGTTTAGGGCCAAAATACATCTCTGATCTGCTGCTACCTTATGAACCATCCCGACCCCTTAGGTCATCTGGGACCGGTCTACTTTCACTTAATGTTCTTCTCCTTTTCTTTTGCCTTAAGTTTTGATGCTTTTAATGGTTTTATGTGAAGCACTTTGAATTGCATTGTTGTTGAAATGTGCTATACAAATAGACTTGCCTTGCCTTGCCTTCTGACACCCACACACCTCACAAATGAAGCAGTATCTTTGTGGGTTCACTTGCCTGTTCCAAAGTATTATGTTTTTTGGTTCAGAAATGTTCATGACGTCTTTCTATTTGTGATCCCAACATTCAAATAAGCCCCTCTCTACCTAGTTAGAAATAGCATAAAATTATAACTCAATATAAACTGAGACTTAATCATCCCTTCTTTCAGGGAACTTCCTGAATAAAAGGATACAGAAAAAAAAAACTCAACAGCAGATTTCTTGTGGTGCTGAATGCTGAAATGTCTTCGGTATCCAGAGTGACAAGATTACAGCGCTAAGAGCTCAATGCACTGACACTTAAGTTATCATTAGAGAGTTATGGTTTGTTATCAATCTTTTTTGTTCCTTTCAAAAAACGTTAAAAGTGATGAGTCGACGAGGATGTTGGTGTACGCAGCACATGTAAAATGGGTCTGGGGTGCAGTGTTAAAGTATTTATCGTGATCATTTTCTTATAGTTAGAGATGTGGCTTTGAGTCGAATGGTTCCACGCTGCATTTTGCAAGTTGAGGCAATCACACTTAGTGTTGGTCACTACATCCCTCTGTGGTCTCTGTCTTCCTGCTGTCTCTGAGATCTGTCTGACTTATACTCTGTCTGGAATCAGGCCCAAAAGCTCTGCTCTGCTGACATGACTGGACAAATTAGTGTTACTCCAGCTAATATATTCAAACTGCTGCCGAGCGGCTGCAGAGGACATTGAGAAGTATTAGAAATGATAGCCTTGACTGTCAGCGACGCTAACCACTCCTGAAAAGGTGACAGCACATTTGGCTGCTATTTGCTGCGGGGGAGAAAAATAAATACCTTAAAAGTTTAACTTTGGGGCATTTTGATCTTTAATTCATACGGGATGTGGAAAACGTGTTTGGTCCTTTCACATCTCAAAAGAGTCATTCTGACGAGAGGAACATGCCGTGGAGATAATCTCACGCCATCGACACTTTGATGATGTTGTACTTTCTCAGTGCCAGTCGACTCATTGACAAACTATCCTTTCATAAAAAGCTCAGGGAGGAAGAACTCCACAACACTCCCGTCGAGCCCGTAGGCACGCAAACGCTGAATATTTGAGGCGACTCCTGGATGTGTTTTATGCAGACAGCATCAGACAGACTTGAAATGCAGCCAGGGCAGATATGAAAGCCGGCACTGTCTGTCAAAACCAGGAAATAATGAATGCCCCCCC